GGTGTAGTACTTTTATGATGAGGGGGTTCCTGGTGAGTGTGTTCCTTTACGCGATGCTTGGAGAAACTGCTATTAGGGTAACATGGATTTCCCAGCGCTCTCCGGTGTTCGTCGATCCGTTTCTAGAGGGGCCTACCAGTTTCTCCCATGATTTCTTTTATTTCTCTCAAATAGTTATCAATCCTGGTGTATTTTTGAGGAAGGTTCCTTGGATTCTGTAGTTAAAGAGTCATCGAGGGAGCACTACTGGTCCTTAGGCACTTCCTTGGGCGCTCTCATTCCCATTTTTGTATGAAAGCCTGACTTGTGTATTTGTAGCCTCTATTCTTCGTTATCTGCCACTAATGATTAGCTTCCGTTAGAAGCTATGGGGGGAGGAAAGCACTGTGCTTCGAAGATCCTATAGTGAATCTTCTACTACTACATCGTTCATGAGGCAGTTTGACGGGGTGGGGGAGGATTTTGCACTTTTGCTACTTCCCATCGACGTGTCGACCTATCTAGACAGCCTCTTCTCGAGTTGACAGGTTTTAACATGATGGCTTGACGACCTTGTTCCAGCTTCACAAGAGTTCACAGGTTTCGCCAGAGTGAGACATGTAAACCAGGAACTAAGGAAGCAATGATAGTACAAAGCCCCCCCCCCCTCCTTTCCAACCCCCCTCCCCCTGTCGTCGAACTGCGCCTCGTTCACGCTCTCACACCAAACCTGCACTTATCTTCCATTTTTCCTTTCAGCTAAAGCCCTTGGTACCCCTCAAGCGATTCTATGAAGAACAGTCTGGCTTTGCTCTTCATCAAGCAACGAGTGAAAACTTTCTAGAAAGCTTTCTGAAGTGCCGATGAGAAAAGAAGGGGCCCTCAGCCGGTTTACTGGGAGTTACTATGAGCGGAAAGTGAACATTGCTTTCGGCTTCCTTTTGATTACGTTTCTTTTCATTTGGAACTGCGCTTAAGAAAGCAGCTTCCATTAGCATTTAATCATCGTCCAATTCTTTTTAGTCTGACGATTTACGAAGCCGCAAGTGTTGATTAAGGCTGCGAATTTTTTTTATTGGCTCGATCGAGTTTGCTCCCTTTCTCCGTCCGGCTATAATTCACACCTTTTCCCATTCCATGAATTTCGCTCGCCCAACGTCACTTCCACTTAGTGTTGTTGAATCACAATCCGGATTCAACAAAGCGGAGATCGGTATGTGCATAGCGATGTGAAACGGGCGTTTCTCATACTCGTAAAACTTCGAAATTTTTCTCTCAGCCTATCCTAGCAATTTTATCTGAATATTCTTTGAGACACTGAAATTGCCTCCAGAAGGCAGATTCAATGCGAAGTCAACACTTCTGGATCCTGAGAAGAGTAACCTATGGGTATAGTCAACCCCACTTACAGACTTAGCACAGAGTCGATGTAAGTGGAGGGGTACGCTCATCATGCCTTCCTTCGGGAGTCAAGGCTCGCTCCTGCCCGGGTGCCAGCCAACCAAGGCTTTAACCCTCCAGAAACGGTGAACTGAGGTTGAAAACTTTGTCACTTGTACATCGGCTGGCCCCCGCAATCACTCTGTAGGCCACATCGCATTCAACGAGCCACTACGGATTCTGAATGCGAAGTAAATCCTGCGTGCCGCAATCTTAAAGGATCGATTCAGGCAACAAAGACTTTATTCTTTTTGATCCTGATCAGAAGAAGTGACCGCTTGAGATTGGTAGTGAACGCTGATCCTCAAGGTCTCTACACTCTTACCTGAACATTAAGCCGTCGGAGACGTTACTTTCCGGAAGAATTCCCAACTCGTAAAGAAACTATGAAACGTTAACAAGTAATAACATTCCAATATGTGAGTCGGTAGCAAGACACTCCCACTTTGATCGGCCACTTACGCTAGATTTGGAAATATATGACTGCAATGTGGAGACCAATCATTGTTCGTAAACGGAGATAAAATCAGGTTTTTCGCCACCATTTTTCTTTTACTACCCCATTTTTCAGGATCCAGGTCAGATGGATGAGCTTTTTGCCAGCTGTCGATTTACCCAAAATTTGTTTCGGGGTCGAGGTTCGGGGGAATGGGGTAGTGTGACCTCAGATATTGATACTACTAACACTTGAGCGAAAATTCCTGGGTTCCGAATCACTGCGGTCTGTGGTACAGGTCGGTTCCGGCGAGGGCGCATATGCACTGGCGTTTTCGCTCTGAGCCGTTTTGGTACTCGGGTTCACGGGATCAAACTGCTCTTAAAATAGGTTTCTAGCGATTTTGACTGCTTGAGGGTTTTGGGATTTCGCAGCAATCGGTTGTGATATCACCTCAGCGCTCGGAACAAAACTATCGCACTACCAAAAATTTTAGTCAAAGTTTCTGGGACATTCACCATCATCTAGTGAATGATAAATCATCGGGCATGAATTCACTCGGCAGCAATAAAATTATATCAGGAAAGAAGCAATGTTTATTTAGCAGGGCACATCGTTGTTGGGGAATCCAGAACACGGAGGTCGTATTTGGTCGACGGGAGAGGGGGTCGTATTAGGTCTGAGAAAATGTTTCTTGATAGTTGATTCTTGTGGTGTCAAGGACGCTATAAAGGGGGAGGGGTCGTATTTGTTCATCGTTGGGGTCATATTTCCTTTCTGCTTATTTTTGGCCTTCTGGGAGAGGTGGTTGACTTTTCGTGATTTTCCTGTTTCATGTGTACTATGTACCACTGCTCCCCTCCCATACACCATCGCCTACCCCGCTCGACAGCAAAATTTTTGGGTGAAAGTAGGGAAATCTTGGAAAGTGGCAGGAGGTTGGGGAAAATCTGAGAATGGTAGAAGGGTCGTGTTCTTCTCGCGGCTTTTCCCGTTTTCCCCTTTCACATGTGGTATTACCTCCCCCTCCCTCGCCCCTCTACAGCTCGATGAGGCGACAGAGGACCGTAGGGGGTCATAACAACCCTCAAAGGGGGGGGGGGGCGTACGGACTCGACCAAAATCCCTAACCAAGGATGTGCCCTGTTATCTAGGCCTTCCGCCTTCTAGTTGAAGCGTTGCGGATCTAGTCGGCGTGCTACGTCTTCTTCATGTTCGAATCAAAAACTCCCGACACGTTTCTTGAGTTTCATCAAACAACGGCCGATAACCAGCAGTAGACTAGTTTGTTGTTCTTTCACCTCCGGCCTCATGGATTCCGTTGTCTGTATCGTGCACAGAAACACGACTTTATATGTAGCCGTGACGTATTACTGGTTCTCAATTCTTCTGCTATCAAAAAAACAAGCGGGCAAAAAAATAAGTAAAGCCCAAGAAATGACTTGAGCTGAGAAATGGCTTCCAAATCCAGCGGCCTTTTTTGGCGTTCTGTAACTACGGAAAGTGATTCTTCTGCATCAATGTTCAGCTCCCGGCAGGATCTGTCTTTACCACTCTTCTTAAAGTAAGATGCACGCTGGGGGCGCTGTTTAGCGACGGGGGCATTTTGTACTAACATTGCTTCAGTTCCGGTTTACGAATCTCACCATGGTAAAACTTGTGAACGCCTGTGAAGCTGGAGTAAGATCGTCTAGCCACCATCCTAAAACGTGTCAACTCGAGAAAAGGCTACCTAGATGGGTCGGCACATCTATGAAAAGCCGAATGCCCCTCCCCCCGTCGACAAACTGCGCCCACGCTGGGTATATTGGATTTATTTATTTCTTTGTTTATTTTCTTTTGAGTACATTCGAGGGTGTGCCACAGACCTAAGCAATTGTATTAAAAAAACAGGAAATAGCACTGTGAAAAATGAAGACAAGAACGAGGGCGAACGAATAGGCTGCGAGTAAGTTTCTCTGGAAAGGGATAAGAACCGCGACCTTTACTGTGACAGAACTATAAGGTCCTTCTCCCTATTAGGTAGATGAAAGAGTCCACCCGCGATATCCTGGTCCTTGGTATTCACCATTTCAGGGTAGATAAGCCTTTCTGGGCCATGCATTTTGCTTCCATTCGGAATTTGGATTCGTAATGGCTTCAAAGGTAACTTCGCCTTTGCAGTTTGGCTTGCAAAGTTCAGCCGATCTATAAATCACTGTTTTCTTTCTGGTTTGAAACCAGTTAACCAAACACGGTGGATGGAAGACTTGGCTGGTCCAGGTCAAGTATTCGACCCGAACGTGCGCATGATAAGTGAAGCCACTCGCTCCTTCGCAGAGTCCAACTCTTGCGGAAATAGTCTAGAAAATTCAGTAGTGGATCTGAAAGCAAGCACCGTGAGACTGCCTCTACATTGCTGAAATGGATATATTTTATTCTTTCTTGGTACGTTTTCTGTTTAGCAATATTTACATGTTAATGTTGAAAGACAATCAAAAAAGCAAAAAATTATGGAGAACACCGTAAGTACCCCCTGGAATCCTCACTATACGAGTTGCCCGGACCTGCTCGTTTTATCCCAGCAAAGCGATATTCTGCAGTCTCTGGCTCACTGGTCGTTTCTTCGTTTCATATAATGCCGGTACCATCTGACAGTAAGAAAAACAAAAAAATGCTGCGTTAGAAGTGAACTCGTGACAGGAAAATAGGACTTGGGTTTTGGTGGGCGGAGCAACTAGAGAACTGACACTTTCGAGGGCTGCAGCGCCTTTGTTAGTACTTGTAAAGCCGCGAAAGACTATATCAGACAAGGAGGGCCAGACTATCTGCTCGGGAGAGGATGCCAGGAATTGCTTCCGCACTGGGACTGTCTTCAAGGCATTCAAGGCAGCTCATCATAATGTCTTAATGACTTTTTCAAGGTGCCTCATGATATGGAACGAAGGTCAGTCTTTTGACGTGAGCGCGAAAAATCTTTAGGTGTTTCTCAGATCTTCAGTCAGTCACCTTGATTGACAATATGCTAGGGTTATGGCCAATCGGCAAGTTATGTGCAAATAAGTCAGAGTGTCGAAACTCCTCTAAGAGAGGTGGGACAAATCCGGTTTCACCTCTTCGAGAACAACTTTGAATATTGGAATACACTAATTTATAAACATTTTTCATGAGGGATATTGAGGAAGTGGGTACTGAGAATCAATTGAAGCACGCAAAACAATTTCAGGAAAGGGAGAATGTCAGTTCAAATGGTGTAGGAAATCCCGTAAAAGTCATCCGCAATCCCGGTAAAATTTGTTTTCTTTTCATTTTCGATCCCAAATTCTCCTCAGTAATACTTTCAGAAAATGTTGTCAGTCTCGAGAAATTCATGGACCTACTCAATTCCGTAGAGGTACGTGTTTTTTTTATGTGGCTCTTATTAATGGACTGCGTAAAACCGTGGATAACTGTTCATTTTGCACAAGGGACGAACTTGTCCAACTGCCGATAAGAATCAGCAAGGCGCCGGGAAAACCTCCCTAAGATTGAAAACTCAGCTAATTATGACAGGAATTCTGTTGTGGGAATTCTTCGCAATCCAGTTTTTGCTCATGGAACAGGGCAGGAAACACCGCACCTGAGAACTTCTTGCACTGGAGACCCGCTCACAAAGAACAACCTGAGCCTGGTTAGAACTTCCTCGTCTGAAAACTGGTTGCGAAATCCGGAATGCCATTGTAGCCAGGGTACGGTAAGTAAAACCGTACAAACTCCCAGCCAATCTTCAAAATTTGCAGTTGTTGCTTGAAAAAAAAATACAATCATGTAAGTTAGGGACTTAGAGGAACTCGTATTGTTCGGAAGTTTCAAATTGAAAAGCAATAAAAATCTAGTCACATCTCTCCATCTGTTCCAATTTCCAATCGAATTCCAAATCTCTTCTTCAAAACTTTTGAAACGGAACCGAAGTTTCTTCCAGGACCTTCATGAGTCGTTTCTCGAGTGCTTTTATTTTTCCGAGCAAGTGAGGAATTCTGAGGGAAAAGAACTCTTGTATAAAAAAAGCTGTAATTAACAATGAGCTAGGGAATTATGTGTGTTGCAAAGTTGAAGTGGGGGAAGGACTGTCCGCATATTTCTTAATTATCTGCTAATCTTATCTAATCCCCCTAGTAGGGAGACCTTCACCTTTTCTATACCTCTTCTGTCCTGCAGATTCTTCAGAACGCGTTGGTGTGTTTGAAAGGTGAAGCCGTAGAGTAGTACACTCCGGCTGTTCGGCTGCTTCCATTGTTCAGCGTAGGTACGCAAAACTTTAGATTATCAAAACGAAGCCGAGTGTATGGACCACCAACTGATTACCACCTTTTCCGCTCTCCGGGCTCTTTTGGAACCGAATTACGAATTTTTGAATGTTTTGCAGCGAGCACCGCCCACCTACCACGACCTGCCCATCATGGGTGGCCTCCCCCACTTCATCCGCCATGTGATTGCCCATCGGTTCCCTTTTTTCCGCTCTCCGGGCTCTTCTGAAACCGAATTATGAATTTTTGAAATAAGTAGCTCACAACTGTGCGCACGCCCCGCCCACAGTGGGCGGTGCTCAGCTCGTTTCATGTGCCGTATCGTACATCTTGGCCCCACCCATCCCACCCTTGGTCCGCCTCCTCAAACTCGGCGCTTCAGATGATGCCGAATTTCCGGACAGACAGACAGACAGACAGACAGACAGACAGACAGACAGACGTTGCCGTTTATATATAGTAGGATTTCTGGACAGACAGACAGACAGACAGACAGACAGACAGACAGACAGACAGACAGACAGACAGACAGACAGACAGACAACAGACAGACAGACGTTGCCTTTTATATAGTAGGACAGGAGCATTGCTGCTTTATCATCCTGCACACCTTCTAAGATTTAGTGCTAGTTGACAATTTCGAAATTGCGACCATACCATTGAAAAAGCATTGTTTGAGTCCTGCTCCAAGGAAACTGATGAGAAGCACTTCTCATAAGGCACTTTTATGAGTACCTTGGAAAACCCGGTGCGTTCTGAGGTGATACTCAGTATCACCCACAAGCGAAGGCGTTTTTCCTGAATCAAAATTCTTAATGAAAGAAAAGAGGGTCTACCATTGCGCAGGGCACGCCATCGCGTTGTGATGAATTCCTGAAAAATGCGACCCCCCAACTCTATCCGATACGACCCTCCCCATCCTACCTACCACTTTCCTAGATTTTCCCAACTTCCTACCAGTTTTCACGGCATTTCCCGAAAAATTTCTGGTCTTTCCCTAAAATTTTGCTCTAGAGGAGGAGGAGGTCGTTAGGAACTAACTACTATTTTCAACTATCAAAAATAGTAGAAATAATAGTTGTATAGAATTGGGCGGCGCCACCAACCAGGAGGGGGCAACAACCCGGAAAAGTTTTTTTCCCAATGCCGCAATCCTGTCAAAGATAAATACGACGACGTCCCTCCCAGCAACGAGCAAATACAACCTCTACTTTATAGCGTCCGTGAAACAAGAGAAATCAACTATCAAAAAATTTTTCTCAGACCAAATACGACCCCCCTCCTCTCGCGGTCAAATACGACCCCCCCCGTTCTGATGATCACAACGATGGCGTGCCCTGCCATTGCGTCCCAGACACGATGGGGCATTTCTAGCTCCATAAGGAAATCAACGTAGTCTTTGGAGAGGTTTATTTTCATTAACTTCCAAGTGCTAAAAGTGGAGCGTCAGTTGAGCCAACGCAGTTGAGCACTTTCGACACACTCTCTTTCCCATTTGCTAAAAAAGCTGAAATGTATGTGAAACATTTAGCCAAAGAGCGATGTCTCTTACTGACCATAAGGCACAGAGCCATTCTTCTTCGGTCACTAAAGATGATGACCGAGATTGAGGACAAAAGGTGGTGTCAGGAACTCTTACTGGCGTTGACCCGACACTATTCTGATGTAATGAAAATTGACAAAAATCAAGAGAATATTTTTTCCAAGGTCTACCCCCGAAAACGGATACTCTATTGAGAAACGTTAAGCGGTCATTACTGCAGCTTTATCATTGATCAACAAGTTTCAGGAGATACCGGATATAACCAAATCTGAAAAATCGCTGAAAAAAGCTGAATCGAAGGAATTAAACTGGACTCGGTAAGTCTTTCTGAAAATTCAGTTCGAACTTTGTGAAACACCGTTGAAAAAGAAAACAAGTGTGTGGATCTGTTATGGAACGAAATGAATGATGGAAGGGTTACCCAAATAATCGGCAAAAGCTAAAGATCTCCTGAAATACATCCAATCATAGGTGCTTCCTTGACGCATCATCGCGTCGCCCTCCCTCAGCAACATGAACTTTTCTATTTTCTCCATGATGTTTTTCAACCTCTGGTTTCTGTCGTTTTTTGGTGCTTTGTACGCCCTCATCCTAAGGAATTTCTATAAGCAAGAGAGGACTTCCTCACCCAAGGTTACTACTAGGTCCCATTCCAGTATCACAGGGCCCGCGGGCGCAGTTTGACGACGGGGGAGGGGCATTTTGTACCATTGCTTCCTTAGTTCCGGTTTACAAGTCTCACTCTGGCGAAACCTGTGAACTCTTGTGAAGCTGGAGCAAGCTCATCTAGCCATCATGATAAAACCTGTCAACTCGAGAAGAGGTCGACACGTCGATGGGAAGTAGGGAAAGTGCAAAGTGCATGCCCCCCCCCCTCTATCGTCAAACTGCACCGGGCCCGCGTCCTTTTCCATGACTTACCAGATCGGTGAACAAACAAAAGTTGTAAAGTGTAAGTGATAGTTTAGCAATGGCATGAAGAATGTGCAGAGTTAGCAATTTGGAAACGTTGAGAATCAGTTGCTAATTAAATGTTTGGACACCTCCAGAGCGAGTTCTGGTAGAAAATTCTGAAAACCACTACCCTGCGATCTACTGCTAGGGGCCCATTTTTGAACTTTTTGCCTCGACCCTCTTCACAATGGCCACTGCAGGTTTCATTTAGTAAAAGGAATACCATCCAATAACCTGTGGTACTGTCTCTTGCAATCGCTGCCTAGCCCCAGTGCCACTTTGTTCTCTTTTTCAATTCTAATCCACACTGTAGCAAATGGAACCCAACCCAAATCACAATTATGTGGGCGGTCCTGGGGTGAACTCCTGAATTGCCTCAAGGAGCAAGAACCCAGAATCATCTTCGTTCCGCAGCGGTTGCGCTTTCAGTCTCACGGGGCTCGGTAAGCTTGTTGCAATCCTGTATGGGATGATGAGAAACACAATATTGTCATCGAGCTGGTTTTTTGCAATAGTCTGAGTTTGCGCGAAACTATTTTTGGCGTCTTTGCGCATGCCATTTCCACTTTCCATCTCACATATCATAGCGGCCTAGAAGCAACGTGACGCTACATAATATATGCGGCACTGGCAAGCTGTAACTTATAGTCAGTGTAATCAATCTCGGCAAAACTGCGTTGTGCCTCTCCCCGCAGCGGCTTAGAAGACTTGGCTGGCCTGGGCGGGAGCCGACCCGAAATTTGAAATTCCACCATGGTAAGCGTGCCACTTGTCACTGTCACAACTGAACCGCTTATGGAATGAGATGTGGATCAAATTGCCAAAGCTTATAACTTCCATTCCATGAAGGAAATGTTTTCATCATGGCTAACGGTTGGTATTTTTCAGCTCCGAAACCTCCAGAGCTTCTACGACGCCCCATGCCAAAGCTTCCACTACGCCAGCCCATGTTGATAAGAAGCGTCCAAAGCTGAATGTTACACGAACCATTCAGACAACAACGGAAGCTGCGACGAACCGTCAGTCGGACGGAGGTCGACTCTGAGCAGTTGGAGGAAACGCTCTTCACAGATGAATCCACCACAACAAACCCCCTTTTTCTGACAACTGAGGACCGTTTTGTTGAGTTCAGTGATCCATCTTCGTTTCAAGACATCTCTTCTGACATCGATGAAGTGAAACAACCACAAAAGACCCACTGAGGACCAGACCCGATTCCCATAACGACTTCACCTGACACCGATCTTCAATGGACAATCGTTCCCAACAAGACGACTGTGCTCACCAGCGCCACTTCCAAAGGAACTCCAACCTCACATGGTTACGGTACTTCGTGAAAATTACGAGACCTACAATATCATCAACTAAAGGGACAACGACCCTCTCCGATGGCAGTGAAAACAACGACGTCGCCTTCAACTTCTACCACGTCACGAACGTCTAGAAGAAAGTCTTCCATGACAAGCACAACCACTGAACCATCGGTAACAATTCCTTTGCCAACACAGAATAGAAGAGGAGCAGAAGTCAGAAGCATTCTCCAAACGGAAATTGAAGCTACTTCCAATATTAACACCTCGTAACAGTAGCACTTTTTCAAGGTTAACGACAGCTGGACCCACTACCGAATCTGTATTGGTTGAGGAAAGAGGCTTCCCTGAGTCCAAGCTAAGTGTTCTGACGACGAAATCGAATGTCACCAAAGCCATTATGAAAGTATCTTCAACTACCAGTGGTCCATCCACGAAGCGTTCTTCTCCACAATTTTCTCGTTCACCAACAACATCTCCTCCAGCCAAAAAGTCGTGGAAGTTCGTTTCTGAACGTTCGGAGCGCAACGAGCAGACTTGCCACGGCATGGGTGTGGTGATCTACTTGTGCTGTTTTGCCATCTTCGCCGACTTTGCCAACCAGCACACCGATGAATACTGAAGAGGAAAGCCCTTCCCCTCCCACGCTGCATTCAAGTGACGCTCCTTCTCTGACTGAGACTAACATTACTATGATGTCGTCACCAGTTTCACCTCTGGAGGAAAAGAAAAACGTTACATCCATGGAATCAAAGGCGCCCAAAGAGGAGGAGCTTGAGGAAGAGCCAATGCCATCTGAGACAATCACAGATTTT